ACTTTTCTTTTTCGCAAATAAACCTTTTCATTGAGCAATTACGAAGCTAAACCTCGCTTTCACCACTAGAAAAGAATAGTTGACATATAAATCAAAAAAGTATAAACAAATAGCATCTATACTTTAAAGAAGTATATATTTACTTGTGGCACGACCCAACTGAAGCTGTTTACACCCAAACACACTAGAGAGTTGTATGTGAAAGGTATCAAGACACAAACACTATAAGACTCTTATGTTAACACGACTCACACAATCTTAGTCGTGACAGTCCATATAGAGACTGGAGACTTGAGCGGGTGGTAGTACTGATGGCGCATGGTCTCTACGGTCCACTCATCACTATTTCAAATATTGTCGTGTTCTTGGCTCAACTCCTGATGACGGAGTTAGATTGCAGATGTCAAAACTTCCTGAACAATTTTGATTTGTATTCAGTTGTGGAAAATATTCCTTTAGTGATACACAAACAAAACACTTCTCTAGTAAAACATTGCAGCACTGTAATGATGTGTTGAAGGTTGAGATAAAACTTTTAGATCATTGGGATTTTTCAGAATATTTTGAGTAAGACATAGGTACAATTGTATCCATTCCTAAGACACAAATTAGAAAACATTGTAAGAACAACTGCACAGGTTACAGTAGATACTTTAATATAGTCTTAATATTAAGTTAATTAATTATAACTGGGCAATCTTGGTTTTCAACGGGAACCGGAGTTTTGCCAACGGGTGTCAGGTAGATGGGGGGGATGCCTTCGGCCACCTCTTGGTGCGGAGATTTGCCAACGGTGGTGGTGGGAGAAAGAGTGTGACGGAGGGAAGGAGAGCGATTGTCAGGGTTGTCTACGCTTGGCAGTTATGCGCTTGTCGCAGTGGGTTAGATTAGGTTAGGTTAGGTTAGGTTAGGTTAGGTTAGGTTAGGTTAGGTTAGGTTAGGTTAGGTTAGGTTAGGTTAGGTTAGGTTAAAAATTCAATACATATCCTTTCACAGTCAGAAGTGCATAACTCCATTACTTTGAACACAGTCAGCATCCTGCCTGGTTTGTCCACCCCTTGCGGAAGCCACCCTCACGGTCACGTGTAATCTCTCTCTCTCCTCCTCCCCCTCTCGCGCAACCCACAACCGTTGGCAAAACTCCGCAGTATGTGGAATTCATGGATGGGGACCCTTTCTACCTGATACCCGTTGGCATAACTCCTACACTCGTTTTCAACCATCCTTAAAAAATGTTTAGTGTCAACGGATATATACAGTTTAGATTGAACTATAGTTATATAAAACAAAAAAATATTTTAAAGAAATTTAAGTTGTCTTTAAAGGTGACTTTTTAGTTGTGCTTTAAGGAATGTACAAATGTACTCGTAATATATTTTATACAATAGATTAATAAAAAGTTGTTTTTGCATTAAATATATGCACTAACAATGATAATGAAAATGAAGTAAAATTCTAAAATTATTTGTTATAAAATTCAAAATATTTAGCCCGATAAGTTAAATGAAACCAGCCTTGCATTTAGTAAAAGACAACATTTTCCTTACTTGAATCTCCCTCTAAAAAAATATTTTGTAATTATATTGACGTACAGTTTATGATTATATTTTTCTGATTTGCTTTCCCTTAACTTACAGTATTTATTATATTCGCTGAACAACGCAAACATTTAAAATACTAATCAAAAAGTCATAGGCCTATCTCTTAACTTTTAACATATTCATGCAAATAATCGAATAAGATAGTTGTAGGAATTTCTTCCTTAGCCATACTTCATTTGGTTTTCCACTGACTACTGTAGCTTTGAATTCAACCATTACTTAAAAAGCACTCTCATAATGCAATATCCTCCGAGTCAACGGTTTGTAAGTCAATTACAAATACACGTGCCAAAGCGCACAGCTTCATTTAAAAAATGATACGTTTGGAGAAAAGAGGTGAAAAATTAGGAGGTCGACCTTTAATGGCGGGAGGGGGCGAATGGCGACGGAAATGAAAAACACAATTATTTGGAGAGCAGAGAAACTGGGGCTAATAACTCCCGCGAAAAACACCGCTGTCACTGAGACGGACATTTGATCTTTGAATTGGAGGGAGATTTCTTCGTGATTGTTTTGTCTTCATTATTGTCAAGTTCTTAACGAATGCGTGGGTTATTATTTAACATTAGTGGTATGTTTAGAACCTTAATTAGTAAGCGATTCTTATAAAGTCCAAGTTTTTTGCTAAAGCATAAATTAATAAAAATGCTAGGTATACGGGAGAGAGGTACAGAATTTACCAGAGTAATAAATACAAATATAAATATGAATAAGAAAAATCACATTTCAAAGGCTAAGAAATCTGAAATGTTGTAAATTGTTCTAAAATAACAAAATGTACCAGTAGTAGAGTCCCGCAAACTCGGCACTCGATAACCCGGCAGTCTGGATTACTCGGCCATCACCTGGCTCAGAAAATTAGTAATTTTTTGAGTCCGAGTTAAACATGGACTCAAGCCAAATCATTCGCAGCTCGTACTAAGGATTTGTTGTACTGTATTTGATGACTTAATACTAACTTGTATTATAAATATAAATAAAAGAGACAGTTAATAAGCTTAAAAATTGTATTGTTATTATTTTTAACCCTAGTTCCAGATAACCCGGAATTTCACAAACTCGGCACCCTTCCAGTCCACATCACGCCGAGTTTGCGGGACTCTACTATCGAAACTATCAGAAATGACTTTTCTGTTTATAATGACATGATATTTTTACTGTATGTATTTGGATTGGAAGAGATACTCCTTAAAAATATATCAAACCTAAGTTAAGTACAGAATATACTAAAATTAAAGCAAACAATAATGTGGATGATCCAGAACATTAATTATTTATATTTCATTGGTTTCATTGGCCTTTAAGTTAAAATTGATTATTCAACTTACTTTCTAAACAAACGATACTGTATTACGGGACTGTCAAGAACAGATATTCACGTTACAAAATCAATAGATAACGACTAAATATTGTAATGTCTAGATGTTGTCAAACTAGTCAAGACACATAAAGTAGTCGAAGTTGGCTATGAGAAATCGTCACCAATGAAGGGTCTGGTGTATTGAATCTCCATGTATTAGTAGTGTATAGCAATTGTCCCGTCTACCTACGCGATGGCACGGGGAACTTTTGTACACTGGGAATATACACTCGGTTAATTGATGTTAATTGTTGCGATACAATTAGTATTGTTAGAGAGTTTGTTTTTGGTTCAGATGTAAAATAGGATTTGGCAATTAGTACAACAGACGTTTCCAATATAAAGAATTAGTTGGAGGGATTGCATTTTTCTATAAACTTACACAACTATAGGCTCTTAGACATCTATCTATTCTTCCTACATAATATCTATTATATTGCTAAAGTGATACATTCAAATTTTATGTAAACTGTTAAGACCATTTACCAGATAAAAATATAGGCATATGGCACATCAAAATGAAGCTTAGATGTAGATTTGCCGAAAAATATTAATATGGACGAATATCCTAAGGGCTCTGCCCTACAGGCTGATTTCCAAAGGGCTACACCTGGCATGCTTCCAATCAAAGTTTAAATGATTTAATTTGATTTAGTTAATGAAACAGCTGGTCAGTACAATGAACTGGTGTTTGTTTATTTTCTCGAAAAAGATGTTTGTGGTGACGCTTTATGTAGATTGAGGAGGGTTATGTTTGGTTTTAAAGAAAGGTTGTACCTATACGTTTTGTAAAGTATTGCTCAAAGTTTCATTTTGTAATTTTGTAATTTATATAGAAAGCTACATGTATGGAGGCTTGACCAAAATTTAAGAATTGAGGTAAAACATGCCATTCATGAAGCATCAATATGAAGCTATTGATGCTATTGCTACACTAAGGTAGGCTATGTTGTCATATTGTTTGGATCTATTAACATTAAAAGTAGGGGTTTGAAAGTAAGTAGGTTTACACTTTTAAATCAGTTTATATTTTCAAACTAAATCATAGAGTTGCTGTTTTTTTTTCACACATCAGCACCACTTTAATAGCTCTCTATGTCACATTTTTCCCCGTTGCAAAGCACGGGTATAGCAGCTTGTAAAGTATTATGCGAGTACTACTGACGTTACTCTCTAATACATAGTATCATTAATTTGAAATTTGGTGTTTATGATTTTCTGTGTGTTTATATACTGCACACACGATCACAAAAACAATATTTATGACCAAACATAGATGACAACTTGTTGTAAAGACTCAAATATGCTATACTAATTAGTATAGCATATTTTTATTTTATACTTTGTTAAAATTAATATAAAAAATTCGGTACAAGTACTTAGTAAGTAGAAGGTGGCACACAAACGAAGAAACAGCTTAAACACTCAAAGTTAAGCTAAACAAAGTTATTTGAAATTTGTAAAACCTTCCGCATATTTACCACCAAGATGAAGTTTGAATAGATATTTTTTACTTGTTGACAAAATACCACTGAATATTATAGTTTTACAATAATAATTAATTGATCACATACTTCTTTTAAAGTATTGGTAAAATGCACTGTTCTAAATGGTACAAATAAAAAAGTTAAATAACATTTTTTTGCAATTTAGTTTTTAAAGTAATAGGTTCCTACGTTTCTAGGGCTTGTAAATAATGTAACTATCAAATCATGTGCACAAAACCTAAAAATTAACTCAAAAATGATTCCAGCCACAAACAACTCTCAAAACATACCACACAAACCGCATACACATGACCTTGACAACACGTTAACCCTAACACAACCGAAATAACAGAATAATCGAAAGTGGGATTTACCATAATCGAATCTTCGGACCTTTGTAAGTTTTCGAATAAAATAAGATGTTAATTGGCAACCCTGGTCATCCTGCTTTCTAGGCATGCAGTGATGTAAGGGCAGGGGCTCTATGGGCCCCGGCTTGGGGAGATCTCGGATATAAAGTTGTATCAAGGTCACGGCCAAGCATTCGTGGTTCTGCGCTCGACGACGCCACATCCTCCGTTCAGCGGTGAGTCCCTCTCTGGTTAGCGCATGCAAATTTGGATTTACACGGGTCGGTGAGCAGATTTTTTTGCATAGGGTAAATACAAATTAATTTTACTTTCGGTTAAACAATTATTTTGAGTTTTAGTTTTTACCTTAAGATTTTTTAAGTAAAAATATTTTTATTTTAAACCTTTGTCGAAATTTTTGACTCAGTTTTGAACGGTTTTTTTCATATAATTTTTATAGAAATTTGGCAATTTTCATTTTGAGATAGTGTATGTAAAAGATTTTGTAGCCTACGTAAGTGAGTAAATTTTTCTTTTATACGCTTAGGATGCAAACATTAATTTTCCAAAAATGTGGTAAAGTTGAGTAATAATTATATTAGTTTAATTGTTTGCAAAATAAATTCGTAATAAGTTAGTTAAACCTTTTTATTTTGAAACTATAGCCCCTAATGTATATAAACTGCTTTCTGTGTATAAAGAAATTATTTTATAGTTTCTGTTCAACTGTGGAGCTTAATTATCACATATATCGTTTGAAAGTAAAAGTTTTTGTGACATAAAATAACACAAATCCGATTTTGTGATCCATAATCAGTGTTTAGTTACAATGATGCAAAGGTTTACCTATTTATCCTATAATTAAGTCTATGCTAATATGAGTAAATGCTAATAGTTTTAAATGTTTCGTTTGAATTACAACTAATACTTTAAATTGCACATTGTATCAAATCAATTGAAGATTATTTTACCATCAATCGCAACGATAAACAAATATTTTGTTAACTTTGTTATAATAAATTCAATTAACTGAATTAAGTATTAAATTTTTTATTCCTATAAAAACTAATGTTAGAACATCCAAGCTGAGACTTATGAGGAATTTATCCATAGGCATATGTATCAATTTAAAGATACAAAATAAAAAAATATATGTACACACAATAAATAATACAAGCCACAAATTAAAGTAGCCTCCTCAGATTTTATTTTATTTTATTTCAACGGACATTCCATTTTGTTTGATGTGGTGCTATTTGTTTACAAACTTATCTATCAATATAATAGTAGTGCAATGTACAGTTCAAGATGGCTAATATTAAATAACAACTATAAATTTGACACTTAGACATAGGCAACAAAAACAAATAACAATAATATAGTAACTAACAACAATAACCTATAGCAAAAACAACAACAATGACGATCGCCCTATATACTAACCATAAATAACAAGGAAAAAAGGCATGTTCAACAAAATAAATATTTGAGCATTTAAATATTTATAAATATTTATAGATCAAAGCCACATACATTTGTAGCTTCATTGTCATTAAAAATAATCAGACAATTTTAGAAAGGCTGAAAAATTGACTTCAATTTAAAGTCACAACCTAAAGTAAACTTTCTTGTATTCAGTTAACAATGTTGTACAGTTGTATGGGTATGGCAAACAATTTTTAGAAGCTTTTTAAATATCTTGTGTAGTCCAAACAGCAGCGTCCCCATGATGTGACAGGTGTTTATATTTCACTTTTAGTATTTAAATAGCCTAATTGGAAATTTTTAAACCTGCCAAACCAATACGTAACCGAACGAAACTTCCGATTTCTTTTAAAACCAGTAAAAAAACTCGTTCTATAAACCTTGCGAAATTCATTTTCATTTGAATACCCTTTCGGAATCCAAATGATCAGTGAGAGTCTCACTTTTCGAGTTTTAGGCTCATTAGGTACAAGATCGTACGAAGCCCTCATTAGATGTAAATCAGCCCAATTAATTGATGACGATAGGCGCCGCTAACCCTATCTACACATCTCCACACTTTCTGGACAGCTGATACACATATCAGCTGATACAGAATCTCTATTGGGCGGTTTGCACTCTCTCCGGACCCATTAATTAGCGATTGTTTACAAATCTGTTGAAATTGCTTATATTGTAAGTAAGGATAACAAAATATACTTCCAGTTCTAGAATATATCAGGTGACAGTTAACACGTTGAAATATTATGTACGTGAAATATAAATACATATAACTTGATCTGAAAAATTGCAATTTTGTAGTTTTGTTGAATATACAATAACAATGTTTTAAAATAGCTTGTATGTGCAATAAACTTCTCAATAAGTTTATCAACAATTTCTATGTTTTTCAAATTTATTAAATGACTAGAATACTTTGTATGTTACTTAAACTACGAATGTAGTATACAATTTTTCATTATGAAATACAATGTGTACAGTTAAAAATATTTTAAAGCTACATGCGTCAAGGCTATATTCCTAAAATGTAGACATGAAAGCATTAGGAAAAGGTATAGCGAGGAGTGTAGGGTATTAATAAGGTTTTCTGCAAATTGAAGCTCTAAAGCAAAGTACAAACTATTTAACAAACATTTGAGGAATTTAATTTCAATACTTTACTTGACCAAATTAGTTAATGTGATCAAACAAATTCCTCAATAGTATTAAAGAATCAGTATTAGCATTGACTATGTATTATTAGTCAAAGGTACTAGAGAAAGATATTATTAGTATCTGAAACTTTAAATACCAAGATTATTACAATTTTATAGAACAAATAAAACGATACCTCAATATAAATATAAAAAGTTGGACCTGATTGATTTCGCAAGTAAAATTTAACTTTCGTCTTAATCCATTCAATTAGTAAGGTAATCAATATAAGTAATTAGTACAAAAATCATTTGCTTAAATCATATAACCAAGCTTAATTTTATTTCTTACTAATTCTCTTTCAAAACTACGTTGGTTGGGGTCGCTTTTACACAATGTGGATCTTTTACACAAATCCTTTGAGGTATCGAAGCTTTAGCAGCTTTATCCATAGAGGACGCGGGCTTTGAATTTCATCAAAGTTCAAGTACAATTAGTATTCGGGTTGGATGGGCACCCTGACACCAAAGGCCGTACAAATAATGGTTCAAATTAATGAGTTTTCGGTACTTATGGATTAAACGGAGGCCACATTTTGTCAGCGCGCTGCGGCGGTTATGTTAGGTTGGGTTATCGTAAATATTATGTGTGTAGGACTTTCCTCGCTTCGTTATGAATCGAACGATACTTTTTATTATGATAACCCAACCTAACATAACCGCCGCAGCGCGCTGACAAAATGTGGCCTCCGTTTAATCCATAAGTACCGAGTTTTCTTTTGGCATTTATCACCCCGCCATTGGCCGGCAACATTGTTTAAGTTTAAAAAATAAATATGATGGGTAATTTTCTACTATCTTGACTTCAAACTCTCTACTCATTAATGTGTTAAAATATGCCCAGGTGACACGTTTTTAAACTTCTAAATTTGGTTTTAATAAAAAAAAACATATGAAACCACTAAAACTTAAAACTTAAAGCTGAGAAAGGTTAGTAGCTTTTTGATAGTTCGAAACTGGACCCAGCTGTTCCTGATCATTGGGCTTTGAATAAATGATCCTGACTAATGAAACCGCTGATCTTAGTCAGTAACAAAGCTACACAGGTCATCACACACCATTCTACACTCATCATTCACTCATATTTGGGTTAAAATACGCACCTAGGTGGCGTCCCCATCTCAATAATTGATTGATTAATTGATTGATTGATATAAATGTAAACAAAAAAATGTAAGTAAAACATATTTCATGTTTATTTCAAGTTTTTTGGTTTGAATCGAAAATATAAATCCAGTTTCAAATCTGCACACCTAGAAGCGTGTTTTGATATACAGGATGTTTCCAAATTGTCTGGACATATTTTGTGGACTTGTTCCTTGGGCTAAGACACACATAAAATGACATTAAAGTATGGGTCTAAAATGCCTAGATTTCTGTTTGTTTGTCTGTTTGTGGTTTTTAAGAATTATTTAATATTTTTTAATGATTTTCAAGAAATAAATTTCAAAATTAGTATAAAATGTGTATTATAGTAGGTAAAAATAGCTTACAAAGTTTCGTTCCAATATCTCAAGCTATTTCAATATGTCGGCCATTTAAAATCTTTAATGCCAAATTTCACGAAAACCGTAAATATTAAGGAAGTTGTTTTCAAATCAATAAGATAGAGAATTTAAATCCAAATCAAATGACACTAAAAATCGGAATGGTTTTAAATGGTTTTAAAATCGGACGACAAACAACCGAGTTATAAGTTTTCTTCTACATTCGGTTACGCAATTTAATATGACTTCAACATTGTATATTATTTGTTATTTTACAGAGCAGTATAGTATGGTAGTCCTATTAAATTGCGTAGCCGAATGTAGAAAAAAACTGATAACTCGGTTGTTTGTCATCCGATTTTGACAAATAAGGTTTAATTTGGAAACACCATGTATAATACATGAACTTAATACAATTACTATTGGATTCTTTATGCCACTTTGAAAATAATAAATCAATCATTTGGTTTTGTAGCTTTTTCATAAAATATTTTCAAATTACTTAGATTTTTTATTTTTTAGAATATTCTTTTGTAAAATAGAACTTTAAATCTGATTTTGTTACTAAACATTCATACTCGCTACTAGCAGTATTACTAATAGAATACTACAGTACACCCTTGAACGTATGTGAAGTCTAATACATCTCAATCAGAGCACAATGTTCGCTCCAATTTTCTCCCATCACAATGAAACGCTACATATTGCCACGGTCCAACTGGCGACTGATGAAGGCATTATGAAGTGGCCAAAACGATGTTGCTGTTGTCAAAAGAAATTAATTCGTTGTTGTTATCAATAGAAATGAGTAATCTTAAAGGGTTCTAAATAGTTTCAAAGCCAAATAAGTATAAAATCGCGCTCTTTGATTTTATTGAGATAGGTATATAGTCCCTTTTTATTTTTTTTTGTCTGGCTTTCTATCACAAATATATAGACTAGTTTTAAAGGGTAAAATTACCAAAATTAATAAAAAAAATCAACAAAACTCATAATTTGACTAAACGTTTGAGATGCCTAAGGCACTTACAAAAGAACGTGTTAATGTTTGGTTTTAAAATAACCGTTATC